GGAAAGTCTTATGTAGCATAGGCTGGCTTCAAACTTACTATGTAGTTAAGGCTAGCTTTGAACTCCTAATATCTATCCCCTAAAATTCTAGGATTAAAAGTATACACTCCAACATCCAGTTTCTTCTCCAATAACTTGGTTTGTGTTTAAGTACTGCTTTCATTTTCTTGATAAAATATCTTTATAAATATATTGAAAGCTATATTGTATTTCTACTTAAAGTACTATTCTAATTTTTTTTCAAGACAGGGTTTCTCTGTAATTATTCTAATTTAAAAACTAAAATTTAAGCCAGGCATGGTGGTGCATGCCTTTAATCCCAGCACCAAGGAGGCAGAAGCAGGGAAATCTCTTCTCCCTCTACAGAGGGAGTTCTAGGACTCTCAGGGCAACACAGAGAAACTCTGTCTCAAAAAACAAAACAAATTAAAGGAAAGAAAAAGAAATCTGAACTAAATTACCACATAAATCCACATATATCTTAATTCTCTTTATAGTGCATTATTGAAAAAATACTATGCAATAATGACCTTTTACAAAATTACTATACAATAGTGAACATTTGCCTAGAAGGCACAAGTTCTGGCCAGGTTCAAACCATAGCAGTGCTTAAAAAAAAAAAAAACCCATACACACACACACACACAAAAAAAAAATCCACATGCCACATACAAGCCAAACAACTTGTATCAAAACACACATGAAGGACTGGAGAGATGGCTCAGCGGTTAAGAGCATTGCCTGCTCTTCCAAAGGTCCTGAGTTCAATTCCCGGCAACCACATGGTGGCTCACAACCATCTGTAATGAGGTCTGGTGCCCTTTCTGGCCTGTAGGCACACATGTAGACAGAATATTGTATACATAATAAATATTAAAAAAAACAAACACAAAAAAACACACACATGAAATTTGAAAAGGTATTGCTTTCTTAAGACTTTGTATTTTGAATTTTTTTGTTGTTGACAGGGTCTAAAAGATCTAGGCTGGCTTCAAATATCTAATGTAGCTGAGGATGATCTTGAACTCTTGGTCTTCCCGCCTCAGTCACTCATGTGATGATACTGCAGATGGTGTCATTATACCCAAAAAATATTGGGTTTTGCTTTGTTTTACTTTTTCAGACAGGGTTCCAAGAAGTCTGCATGTGTTATGATGCCCAGTCTTCCATGGTTTCTAGTTTTACTAAATTGTGATTAAAACAGTATTTTTTGCTGTGGAATTATGGAAGTTTTCTTTTTTTCTTGTTAGTGTGTACAGCTTTTGTTTACTTATTTTGAGACAGGGTCTCACTGTGCAGCCCTGGATGGCCTGGAATTCTATGTAGATGAGGTTAGTCTTAAACTCATAGGGGTCTGCCTGTCTCTGCTCCTGAGTGCTAGGGTTAAAAGTGTGCATCACCATGCCCAGCTGTTTCATTTAAGACTATGTGGCTTTGGCTTATCTGTAACTCACTATACAGATAGAGCAGGCTGGCTTTACACTGTGGGAATTCCTTCTGCCTTTGCATCGTGAGTGTCGAGTTCACAGGCACACTATCATACCCACGTTTGGGAGGTTTCATTTAATATCCTACTATAAGGGCTATGTTTATAAAAAGAACATATTTTCTTGAACGGAGGCCTTATCCTCTCTGAGGAGCAGAAAGGGGTGGGTTGGGGAGAAGGCAGGGGGAGTAGGAAAAGGGAAGGGAAGGGGAACTGGGATTTGTATGTAAAAGATTGAAGCTTGGACTATCTGTGAGGTACCTGGCCGTAGGACCAGGATCTATCTCTGATGCATGAGCTAGCTTACTGGAGCCCATTCCCTATGGTAGGATGCCGTGCTCAGCCTTAATGCAGAGGGAAGGGACTTAGTCCTGCCTCCAACTTAATGTGCCAGACTTTGTTGATTTCCCATGGTAGCCCTTACCCACTGGGAGAAGGGGTAGAGGGGAGAACTGTGGATGGAATTTAAAAAATAATAAAGACATGGGAAATGAAAAAAATTTTCAAAAATGTTGGATACGCTGGCTCATGTCTGTAACCCCAGAACTAAGGGGCAAAGGCAAGAAGACTGTGGGGCAAACAGAACCACTAACTGGGTTCCAGAGAAGCCCAGGTTAGAGTGAGACCCTGTCTTAAAAAAAAAAAAAAAAAAAAAAAAAAAAAAAAAAAAAAAAAAAAAAAAAAAACCTCTGGTAAAGAAGCGAAGTGAAGTTGAAGTTGGAGAGTTAAAGAGACAGCTCAGTGGTTAAGAGTACTTGCTGCTCTTAGCCACACAGCAGTTTACAATTACTTATAACTCTATTTCCCAGAGATCTAATGCTCCTTTCTGGCCTCTGAGGACACTAGGCATGCACATGATACACATACACACAGGAACTCACAGATAACACACTGAAGAAAAAAAAAGCCAAGGTGGAAATTTCTTAGCTTTAGGCAATCAAATTTTTAGGACATTCTGAACAGGATCTTTGCTGTGTTCTGCCTCTTTCTCTTCCACTAGTTTATGAAAACATGTGTACCAATTATTTAAAAATCTGAAATCCACTTACATTCAAGCATGCAGATTAGAAACATTTACTATGAGTGCCTGAGTTCTAAAAATTCCTTAGGGGGAAGTGTGAGTGCCTCGGTAGCCCACTTTTCTTGCTGTTCTCTCAGGAAGAATATCACTCACAGAGAGTTCAGCAGCAGAACAAGGTTCATACCTCCCCAGACTCAGCTCAGGATCTGCAGAGAACAACTAAGTTTGACAGCATTCTGCTTGTGGTGAAAGGGAAAACTTGGCTTCCTAGTGGCAACAGGTGTCTCAGAACATTAGGGTAGTAGGCACATGCAAATGTTTGATAAAATCGGGTTTCTTTTAGATTTTTAAAGAAGATTTACTTTTAATTTTACACACACACACACACACACACACACACACACACACACACGTATTTACATGTAAGTGCAGATAACCATCAAGGTCTAAAAAGGGAACTGGATCTCCTGGCACTGGAGTGACAGGAAGTCAAGAAGTTTTGAGCCACTTGACAAGGGTGCCTGGTGTGAGAAGTCCTTCTGTGTATGTGTTGCTTTTACTGGTTAATGAAAGAGAATCTGTTTCGGCCAGTGGCTTAGCAGAGTAGAGCTAGGAGGAAAAACTAAACTGAATGCTGGGAGAAAGAAGGTGAAGTCAGTGAGACGCCATGTAGCCACTGAGGGGAAAGACTCAAGTTGTTAGTGGAAACTTGCAGGTAGGCGACAAACCTCATGGTAAAGTATAAAATAATAGAAATGGGTTAATTCTAGATGTAAGAGCTAGCTAGCAATACACTTAAGCTATTGGCCAAACAGTATTGCAAATAATATAGTTTCTGAGTAATTATTTTAGGTCTGAGCCGTCAGGACAGGTGCCAAGAACCGAACTCTGATCCTCTAGAAGAGCAGTCCCTCCTCTAAACCACTGAGCCATCTCTCCAACAATAGATTTCTATCTTGATAAAAATCCCACAATTCAAGAAATGGACTTTCTTCTCAAACCTTGTGCTGGGTAGTTTTTATGTTAACTTGACACAAGGTAGAGTCATCTGTGAGGAGTAACCCTCAGTTAAAAAAAATGCCTACATCCTAAGCTTTTCTGGCCATCCAGCAGGGTGTGTTCCCTGCTACTGGCCTTCTTTACCCCCATTCCACTCTGCCCCCAAGCACTCCTTTTCAAATCTGCAACATCCTTGGATTCCCCCAGCACAGCCTGCTTCAGGACGAAGGGAATCTGAGAGCCTGCTCCAGTGCAGAGAGGGCAGACCAAGAAAAACTCCCAAATACACAGTCAGCCACAGCAAGAATGGACCAAGACGCCAAGACTATACTGGCCTCATTTGAAGGAAGAGATGGGCAGGCATCAATGCAAAAATTCCTCCAACATCCTGAGAAGCAACATGATAACACCAGAATCCAGTGAATATGCAACAGGAAGACTTGAACAGCCTAACCCTGAAGAGGTAGAAGAAATTGACTTTAAATGTAACCTTATGAAAATGATGGAGACCCTTAAACAGGAAGTGAAAAACTCCCTTAAAGAAATGGAAGAGAAGACAAACAAAAAGTTAGAAGAAATTAATAAATCCCTCAAAGATATCCAAGAAAACTAAGAAAAAGCAATCAAACAGGTAAAGGAAACAGTTCAAGACTTGAAGACCGAAATGGAGGTAATAAAGAAAATACAAACTAAGGGATGGCTGGATATGGAAAATCTGGGTAAACAAACAGGAACTACAGAGATAAATATAACCAACAGAATACAAGAGATAGAAGAAAGAATCTCAGGTGCTGAGGATACTATAGAGGAAATAGACTCATTGATCAAAGAAAACAGCAAATCTAACAAATTCTTAACATAAAACATCCAGGAAATCTGGGACACCATGAAAAGACCAAACCTAAGAATAGGGGTAGAAGAGAATTTCAGCTCAAAGGCCCAGAAAAAACCAAGACAGACCCTGAGAAGTATCCGGAGGAACAATGTTATATAATACACAAGCCTGATTTAAAATTCTTTCCTGAAGAGGCCTAGTAGCAACTAACCTAACTTCTTTGCTATTCAACTGTAGATACTGTGCTAATGCTTCCAGGATAACTCAGTTGCCTTTCCAGGGGTTTCACTGGCTGGCATCTTATATGAAGCACAGGGTTTTTCAGAAATAAGAAAGAAATCTATGTATAAAACTAAAATATAGACCTGACTCCTAATTTGACAGGGGCCCTGTAAGCCTTCAAAAAGACGTCTGAGGAGATCACTTTTGAAGGGATGTTTAAAAGAAATTTAATCATGCCATCACATTATTATATTCTAAGGTCCTCAAGGGTTAGGGTCTGAGACTAGTCATGTCCTCTCTTCCCCAAATAAAAGCACAGCATGCTACTTTGCATAGTGATAATCAATGAATATTTGACGATTGTTGAATAGTTGACTATTTTAAACATGAGTACATCCAATATACAAGGACAGGGAAGAAAAGAGTTAAATACTCACTGACAGAGAGGTGCCTGCTTCTGGGCTCAGGAGCTTGGTAGATGGTATTTACATCCCCTGCAGACTGGGAAGGCTTGATCCGAACCTGCCTGGACACTCCAGAGTGGGGAGAGGAACTGGACTGTAAGAGAGGAGGAAAAGTGTGAGCTAGATCTGTAAGTAATCAGATCTGTGAAGGATCTTTGTCTTTCCTTAGGACTCCTCACACTCTTCAGGCACCTTTTAGTACACGGACTGCCAGGCTTTTCACCAAATCCCGACCCTCAATCTTCTTGGCAAATCATTATTTCCTTGATGTATTTTTACAGCCTCAGTAATAAATAAATACTAAATTCTGATGTTCAATTCAATGGATGATGATCCAGATACAGAATAACAGGCATTTGTGTAATAATCTGCCAGACGAGAAAGAGCTCTAAATACCTTCTCAGAAATTTAACAAGAGGCTGAAGAGGTGACTCAGAAGTTGAGAGCACTTGCTGCTCCTACAGAAGACCCAGGTTCAGCTCCCAGTACCTACATGGCAGCTCACAACTATGTAACTCCAGTTCCTTTCTGGCCTCCTCTGGGACCAGCACACATGTACAATACATATATACAGGTAAAAAAAAAAACATTCACACATAAAATCTTTAAAAAAGTACCTAGTGAACAGCAGGAATGTCATCTATGTGAAGATATTTCACTGCCCTACAAAATTCTGGCTACTAAATATATATTTTATTTTTTTTTCCTTTTTTGAGACAAGGTTTTATTGGTGGCCCATCTGGCCTTGAACTTGTGCTCTCCCTGTCTCAGGTGCCTGGGTGCTAAGATTATAAACACGTACTACCAAGCCAGATGAAATATGGACTTTACAAAGCCACTCAGGGGATCATGTGAGTGTCCCAGGGCCTTGCTGCTACCAGAGCCATAATGAGTGGCCTGTACTGTCCCCACTAGAGCCGTAACACCCGGGCCAGAGCTGCTGCCAAGGGCTGTATCTGTGTCCATGACCCTGCTACAGTTGGGGTCTGTGATGATGTCCATGTTGCTACAAAGCGTCATCTGAACCATGCATGTTGAAATTCAAGGGCCGTGTGGAGCTGGTCCCACTCTTCCCTCGTCTTGGGATAGCTGGCTCTGCCCCGTACTGGACACAACAACAGTAGAGCTGGCCCCAATGGCATGGGCCTAGGAGACGTAGTTCTAAGGGGGTAGTCCCAGTGGCCCAGACAGAACAGCTCAGCTACCACCCAAACGTGTACATCCTAGACCTTAGTTGGCCCACCCTAACATCTACCCCATCTATGACCTGCTGGAGTACCCAAAGGGACTGGTCCTACAGAACGATAACTTCAGGATCCCCATGACTCAGGGCAATAGCAGGGTATCTGAGGAGTTCCAGTGAGGGTTCAGTGATAATGGTGTGACAGAGCAGAGGCCTTGAACTGAACCAATGACTTATTGCAATGAACATTTTGTGGATGGGACCAATTGGACAAAAGGGTATATTGTGTGACACACCACAGCACACAGTGCCACTAAAATGAATGAAGAAGCGTTAGAAATATGGAATAAGGTGTTTTGTTGCTGTTTGTTTGCTTGCTTTTAATTGATTTGTGGGGATGTTCCTGCAGGGGTTAGGGGATAATATAGTGGGACTGAGAGGTGAGTGGGATTGGGGTTCATGATGTGAAATTCTCAAAGAATCAATAAAGAATTATGTTTAAAAAAACAAAAACAAAATAAAACACCAGGCAGATGGTGGCACACACCTTTAATCCCAGCACTTGGGAGACAAGCTCCAGGACAGTCAGAACCGTTGCACAGAGAAACCCTGTCTCAAAAAAACCAACAAAACAAAACAAAACAAAGTCACCTGGGGGGGGGGCGTTTGAGCTGCTCAGTGAGTAAGAGCACTAACTTTGCAAGCACGAGGGCTTGAGTTTAGATTCCAGTACCTATGGAAAGAGCCAGGCGTGGCTGTGTGTTCCTGTAACCCCAATATGGAAGGTGAGTAGGGTGCTGAAGGCAAGAGGGTCACTGGAGCTTGCTGGCCACTAGCCTTGTTCCAGGTTCAGTAAAGAGACCATAACTTAGGGAAATAAGGTAGCGTGAGATATAGTAGAGTACCTGATGTCCTCCTCTGGCCTATCTGCATTTGCACATACATGTATTTATATACCACACACACAGAAAGGTAACTCAATCTGCTCTTTCTTCCACAACTGTAATTACTCCCCTTACAATAAGATCTCAGCTGCTTCAAAGCACAAAAGTTTACATGCAAATCATTTGGGCTCATGTTCAAATGAAAAGGCAGTCAAGTTGGAGATTGAAGACCTCAGAACAGGGTCAGTAGCCTTCCTGCACTCACCCTTATTTTGTGCTAGCCTAGTCGAGCTGCCCAGGTGAGAAATCAAAACAATAATTGGGGCTTTACACTGAGAAAGCTTAAAACTGAAAATTGCAAAAAGAGTGCTATCAAAAGTAAAAACAGGAGCTACAATTTGGGCCAAAGTTTTTACTTGCTTCTCTATATCTCTTCTACCTCCCAACAGGGTGGGGGCGGGGAGTACCACATAAACAATCTTTATATCCTGTCCTTCAGGATATAGACTTCCCACTTCTAGGGGCAAGTTCAGCTGCCAAGCAGCCTTCCCTTCCCTAGTCTTTCCATGCCAGACGTCATCACATGTAGGGTTGTCTTGACAAACTGTCTTGTTCTAACAGGAAGTCAGAACCAAGGGGAAGTGAATGTTCTTGCTGAAGCCTCCAATATGCAATAGCTCTCTGCTGAGAGTCAGAAAGGAAAAAACAGCCAAAACCACACACTGGGGGGAAAGGGCAAGAAGGGGCCCAGTAGCCCTGAAGTTAGGGAAGGAGCTGCATGATGAGTGCCCAAGGCCATCTGCTTAGATGCAAAGCCTTTCATGTTGTGGAGATTGAATGAATCTTGGCAGCATGGATTTGAAATGGATCAAAGAACATATACTCTAACCTTTCGTTTTAATAATCTATAAACGGGGGGGAGGGGGCTGGAGAGATGATTCAGCAGTTAAGAGCATTAGCTGTTCTTTCAAAGGAGCCAGGTTGGATTCTCAGCACCCACATGACAGCTCATATACTGCCTGTAACTCCAGTTCCAGGGGACCCAACACCCTCCTTCGACCTTCATGGGCACCAGGCACATATGCAGTGCAGGCAATACACAGAAATAAATAAAGTTGGGCTGATGAGGATGTAGCTCAGTTGGTCGGGTGCTTACCCAAAGCCCTGGGCTCAATCTCAGCAGTAGGTAAAACTAGACACGGTGAAATACACCTGTAATTCCAACACTTTGGAAGTGGTCAGGAGGATCAAGGAGTACAAGGTTATCCATCCTCAGCTACCTAGTGGGTTTACAACCAGCATGGGTTAGAGATCGCCTCAAAACAAACAAATAGTAGCAAGGCTGGAAAAGGCAATAATAAATAATAATGAGATTCACAGTAGAGAAACAAAATGGCCAACATTTATCAATGATGAGAACTGGAGAGCAAAGATACAGTATGCTGGAGTAGTGCTCTTCAGTATCATCTCTAGCACCAGTCTATGAACTGGTAGCACACTGGTCCTCTCTCAGATAACCAATGACAATAATCCTGGAAGCATTTTATAGCAGTTTGGTAGAGTAACTTTATATCGACTGAATGTAATAACTAGTACGGGCTTATTGTTTATAAGTGCCTATTTTTTTGTTTTGTTTTGTCTTATTTTTGATTTTATGGATGGGGGTCAGATCTAAGGCCAGGAGCTTTGATTTACTAAGCAAGCATCCACCTCAGAGCTGCCTATAAACTCCAGTTTGTCTACTTTATATTTTACAATTCACTTTTTTTTTTTCAGACAGGGTCTCTCTCTATTATATAGCTCTGGTTTTTCTGAAACTTACTATGTAGACCAGGCTCACCTTCAGTTACGAGCAATATTCTGTCTCCCAAGTGCTGTGAAGGTATACACCACCAAGCCTAGCCCATCTTACTTTCAAAATAAATAAATGCAGTTAATAAAAAATTGGAAATTAAAGGCACAAAATTAATATTTCATGCGATGTATACATAGATGTGGATGACATAGATTAACCATGGTAGATTAACCATGGGAATATTTCCTTCATTACTCTCCATCTTAAAAAAAACTATTTGTTTAAAAACAACTATTTATGTATTTACTATTTCTGTGTGTGCATTTGCACAGGTAAGATGGCTTATGTAAGTCAGTTCTCGCCTTCCAACATGTAGGCTCCAGGGAACAAACTCAGGTCATGATGGCTGGCAGGCAGTACCTTTACTTTCTGAGCCATCTCACTGCCCTCTACTATTATTTCGGTTCTTTTAACAAATATTTATGATTTTTTTAATATTTGTTGATTTTTATTGAGCTCTACATTTCTCTCTGCTCGCCTCCCTTCTTCTCCCCACCCCTTCAACCCTCTCCCAAGGTTCCCGTGCTCCCAATTTACTCAGGAAATCGTGTCTTTTTCTACTTCCCGTGTAGATTAGATCCATCTATGTCTCTCTTAGAGTCCTCATTGCTGTCTAGGTTCTCTGGGATTGTGAATTGTAGTCTGGTTTTCTTTATGTTTAAAAATCACTTATGAGTGAGTACATATGATAATTGTCTTTCTGGGTCTGGGTTACTTCACTCAAAATAATGTTTTCTAGATCCATCCATTTGCCTGCAAATTTAAGATGTCGTTTTTTTCTGCTGTGTAGTAATCCATTGTGTAAATGTACCACATTTTCCTTATCCATTCATCAGTTGGCATTTAGGTTGTTTCCAGGTTCTGCCTTGACAAACAATGCTGCTACAAACATAGATGATTAAATGTCCTTGTGGCACAGTTGAGCATCCTCTGGATATATACCCAAAAGTAGTATTGCTGGGTCTTGAGGAAGGTTGTTTCCCAATTTTCTAAGAAATTACCACACTGACATCCAAAGGGGCTGTACCAGCTTGCACTCCCACCAGCAATGCATAAGTTTTCCCTTTACCCCACAACCCCTCCAGCATAAGTTGTCATCAGTGTTTTTGACTTTGGCCACTCTTACAGGTGTAAGATGGAATCTCTGAGTTGTTTTGATTTGCATTTCTCCG